TGGGAAATACTGTGCAATTGAAGATTTCTTGCTATTGCGCAATACTGTGCTATTGCGCATTACTGTGCAATTGAAGATTTCTTGCTATTGCGCAATACTGTACTATTGCACAATACTGTGCAATTGAAGATTTCTTGCTATTGCGCAATACTGTGCAATTGAAGATTTCTTGCTATTGTGCAATACTTTGCAATTAAGATTTCTTGCTATTGCGCAATACTGTGCAATTGAAGATTTCTTGCTATTCCGCAATACTGTGCAATTGAAGATTTTCTGCTATTGCGGAATACTGTGCTATTGCGCAATTCTGTCAAATGGTCTCAGAGGAGTTGCATTCACAAGGTTTTATTGTCACAATACTCAAATAAAATCCAATAACTACTAGTAGTTAAAATGGTAAATCTAAAATGACGGTATAATATGGTCAACTAAACATGATGGCAAACAATCCCAACAAGTATGGGAGCTTTCTGTAAAATGGTCTCAGAGGAGTTGAGTTCACAAGGTGTTTTCGTTACCATACGATAAAATATAGTCAACGTTCAATAGCTCCTGTAAGCAAAGAGCTCTGAGGTGAAAAAAGATACATAAAAAGATAACTTGAATTACAATGAAAGCAGACCACAACAACTATTTGTGAACTGGATATAAAGGTATTTACTTGAAATTTAGTCCAGTAATGTTTTAGCTATTACTGGACCAGCTCCATGACAAAAAAAAAAAAAAAAAAAACCAAACTGGCTTATAATTGTATTCACAACTTACTTTAAAATCCTATTCAATATTCATCCTTTAAATCTCTTTCATATAAATATAACACAAAATCCATTTCTTTGTGTAAGATTGAACATTTATAAGTAAGATGGAATATAGAAATTAACTAAGTCTTCTAGTAATTTTAATGTTATCAAATTTATTGAACCAATGCATGCATATATATACTAAACTAAGTCCTGTATTTAGTACGAATCTATAACGTATTATCGACAAATAATATTTCATTCAGTGATTGTTGATCGCAAGCTAACTAACTTTCGAGTTTGTTGCCGAAGTTTACCGGATTGTGACATTGATAAACAATCAACATAGAGCACGTATAAAACGTGACAAATAAGTGAGCTGAAAGAGTCATGATATTCATGTTTAAATTTTCCGTGCGTTCCCATTTGTTAATTTAACTTTTCCTTAACAGTTGCTCAATGATTAGTTGTATTAAATGTGTTCTTTAAGAATCAGTTATAACTATTTACCTTCCAGTGCACATTTGTTTACATTCTTTCATCACAGTTTTCCCCCTCGCACTTGCGCTGTGAGATGGCCGAAGTTCTAACGAGAGGTCTCATAAATAAGGTCACTGCATACGGGAAAATATTGGCAAATTAGTGTACCGGAAGACAATAATTCAACAGCAGTTTATTTATGAAGATTTTAATAATATAAAAGATTTTCTTTTACAAGAAAGTTCACATACACTTATTTTATAGTAAAACTAAGCCATTCAGGTATATAAAACATATTCAACTTTTTTTTTTAAATTTGAAGTTTCATACATGACACATAAATGTAAGTAATCTGTAATCTGCCTAGGTATTCTGCACCCCCTTTTCCCAACGAGAATGCAGAAAAAAAACTTTTTGTAACTGGTTGAAAACATCTAATGAAACTCCGGTAATTTCAAATCGTGTGAGCATTTGCTTTATTTTCATGAAACACTCTGTTATCCATCAGCAAGTAGAATTGGAAATGCTTCAAAACGGTTCTGGATAAATGCAACAGTAGTATACCGCTGTTCGAAACTCATAAGTCGATAGAGATAAAAACAAATCCAGGTTACAAACTAAAACTGAGGGAAACGCATCAAATATAAGAGGAGAACAACGACACAACAAAAACACAATATTAAAATGTAACACACACAGAAACGAACTATAATATAACAATGGCCATTTTCCTGACTTGGTACAGGACATATTAAGAAGAAAAATGGTGGGTTGAACCTGGTTTTGTGGCATGCCAAACCTCCCGCTTTTATGGCAACGTCAAACACAACACCAAAACGACAACATCACATGACAGGACCACAATACAAATAAATGGGAGAACATATAGGACAAAGAAACACACGAATAATAGCTAGCAGAAGGTACTGGGCTTAAAATTCAACTGCCAGACGTGCGTCTCGTCCACACAAGACTAACCAGTGACGCTCAGATAAAAAAAGTTTGAAAGCCAAAACAAGTACAAAGCTGAAGAGCACCGAGGACAAAAACTTCCAAAAAGTTGCGCCTAACACGGCCAGGATTTTCTGACTGGGACAAGAACATCCTTATTATTTAGAATAATTTATAATTCTGAAAACAGTAAATATTATAAAATGACTATATAATAGATATAGATGATAAAACCAAAGTGGGGACTAACTACAGAATAAAAACGGATACATTACATAAAACAACTTAATCCAACATATAAAAATACACAGCCGAGATAGCTAAAGCCTCAACGCACAAAGTGACGTCACACTAGAACTCTTCACGAGTGAAAATGAAGTCAAAATCACAAAATCAAAAAGCTGATAGCACTGAGGTGGAATAAGATACATGCAAGGATAACTTCAATAATAATGAAAGCAGACCACACCAACCCAATCTGGTATGTGCCATTGTTGCTTTCGACATATGTTTTTCTTTCAAAAATAATATACTTACTCAGGTCTCCATCAAAACAGATTAAACTAAACATAAAAATCTCCTAATATTGTCGATTCAAATTAAATTTTCTATCATTCCATACATTGCATCTCATCATGTTTAACTTGAGGGAAGCAAATATAACAGGAGTTTCAGATTATGATTCACTTTAAAGTTTTTCTGTCGAAGGTGGTTATTCACTTTAGGTATTCCGGCTTCCTTTGGCAACAAAAACTGTCCACCATGATTTTAGTAAAGTGTGCTGAAAGTGGGCATAACAACAACATCAATCAATTAATCATGAATTAGTATAGTTGTTCACAGTTTTTTTCATTATAAACATATTTTGAAAAGTTCTAAATATATCCAATGTAGATTTTGAAAGTTGGCAGGTGTTAACACTTAAGTCTCTTTGGAAACTTAACTTTTAGCAACACTAACCCAACAATCCATCATGAACTGTTATATTTGTTATCATATTTGAAAGTGTATTCTGATTATTAATGTGTTTCCGAAGGAAGGACTGATAAACAGTGGAAAAACATAAGGAGACCATTACCATATCCCACAAATAACACTAAATACCTGGGCTCTATTTGTTTCATTTCTTTAAAAAAAAGACAGAATAATGACAGACCTGTATAATTTATTCTGATTGAGACAGGTTGGAATCAGTCGTAGGATATTAGCTAAAATCTAATTAACTTTTAAAGGCTATAATACTTAGCTATTAAAGCGGTCACAATAATGAATATCTTTCCAGTACTGGTATATACATGTATCAGATTTCCAAACATACTCAGTAATTGGTTTTGATTGATTGTTGTTTTCTTGATATCAAATGGCTAATATTTTATGCAAATCAAGATGAGAACAAATCAATAGTATACAATAAATCAGTTTTGTAGGTCTGGAATTTGGGTAAAGCAGCACCCCTCAATTTATGGCTATGTCATGTATGTATTTGAACATCTTGATCTGGTTCAGTTAAATAGACATCCCCTTCATTATAGGTCTCAATGGCAGATGGGAATAGTCCATGTGACCAAATCTCTATATGCAAGTAAAGAATCTCGGATACATGTATAATTGCAGCGAAATTGACTGAAAAATGATAAACGTCAAACAAAAATTCCATGAAAATAATTCGGTTTACAGAGGTTTGTCGTGGTACATAAGAAGAATAAAATGCTTCGCTGAGCGCCGCCAGATACGACCGCAGAGGTCTAACACTGAACAGTTGGGGCAAGTTTGGACACAATATTCAAGCTTGATACTGTCTCAATTTGGATTGTGTTCAAATTTTTGACATGATATAGGTTTCTGACACAAAATAAATGTGGTCAAAGATCTTAAAAATCTGAGATGGGACATTTAATTTACCTGGAATGGTCTGATATCCAAAATCTAACAACATGGTTAGATTCAGCATATAAAAAAACACAAAAATTTAATTTTAGTTGAAATCAAACAAACAAAGTTTAATTTTAGACCCTCCAAACCTTAATATGGACTAATTTGAAAACAGGTTCCGGAAACCAATACTGTGCTATTGTGCAATACTGTGCTATTGCGCATTACTGTGCAATTGAAGATTTTTACTATTGCTCAATACTGTGCAATTGAAGATTTCTTGCTATAGTGCAATACTGTGCAATTGAAGATTTCTTGCTATTGCGCAATACTGTGCTATTGTGCAATACTGTGCTATTGCGCATTACTGTGCAATTGAAGATTTCTAACTATTTCCCAATACTGTGTCATTGCGCAATACTGTGCAAGTGAAGATTCTTGCTATTGCGCAATACTGTGCAATCATTTGAAATTTCAAAAACTTTAAAGAAAAAAAATATGAACCCCCCAAAAAAATAAGAAAAAAAATCCCCCAAAACTTTTTGAACCACCTCCCTCTTGGAGTAATTACCCCAAATAATCCCAGCCTTCTTTTTGTGTTATGGAACCTTGTAGGACAATTTTAGAGAGATCCATTCACTTAAACACAAGTTATGGTCCGGAAGCTACAAAAGTGCTTGTCTTTGGCACCTAATTCCTAAACTGTTGGTACCATAAACCCTAAAATCAATCTCAACCTTTCTTTTGTGGTATTGAGCCTTCTGGTAAAATTTCTTAGAGATCCATTCACTTAAACTAAAGTTATCGTCCGGAAACCAAATGTGTCTTCGGACGACGCAGACGCAGACATCTATGCCGACGGCGATACCATAGCATTATATGACTCAAAAATGTTTACGGTCGTATAAAAATCATATCAATTCAACTATCTAGATTTATTCCCTACTGGAATCTTACTTGATAGACAGGTTATTCCATTATCATAGAAATTATCCATACAAAGGCATTTGTCTGTATTACATTCTGCATTGCCATATGTTGTACAGTTACTGGAATCACTGGTAGTACAAGTAACATCTCCTACTGCTGCTTCACATGATTTACACAGTAAACAGGATATCAATATCTGAAAAGGAACAAAAATTGATGATCACATGAAAATTATCAAAAAGCACCACCTTCATTAGGAACATCAAGAGCAAAAATCCTGAGAGATAGAAAAAGTCTCATGTCAGAAGTCTGAAGTCAACTTTGCATGGAAGCACATGAGTTCACCAGAAACTGTTAAATTTTCAAATAATTTTATATATTTCATATAATTAATTGCATCCTATATCAACAGTCAAAATAACTAAGTTAGTACTAGTATATAAACTATGTTTAATGTAAATGTATGTTTAGGATTGACACAGGGAATCTGCAATAATTGAGGCTGTGAAATTTTAACATGTATGATAAAGAGTGGCATAATGTTTTCGGTCTGTTGGTCTGTTCTTCCACCTGTCTGTCCCAAGTCCGGTAAAAGTATTGATTTGACATGTTTAAGGTACATTTAAGTTTTGGTTTAAGATAGGTTGTGGTCACATCAACAAGGAACTTCATACCAAGTTAGAATTTTGACTGAGATTTCACATTTCGCTGAACATTGGAATGTGATGTTTTTAAGTTATGGACACATAAAGGGCAAAATGCGAGGCTGGGCGCAGTTTGATACGATCACAGAGGTCGAACTCTGAACAGCAGGTATGGACACTACATTCAAGCTTGATACAGCTCTGGATCTGAATTGTGATTAGATATTTGACATAGCATAGGTTTCTGACACAGAATGAATGTGGTTGAAAACTGAAAAATTTGAAATCGGACTTTAACCTATCATGGCCCAATTTCCGAAATCTAAATACACGGTTATATTCAGCATATCAAAGAATCCCAAGAATTCATTTTTTTTTTATTCAAACAAAGTTCAATTTTGGACCCTTTGGACATCAATGTGGACCAATTTGATAAAGGGGCCCAAAATCAAAAATCTAAATACATTGTTAGATTCAGCATATCAAAGAACCACATATATTCAATTTTTGTTGAAATCAAACAAACTTTGGATCCCGATTTAGACCAACTGAAAACTTGGCCCGAAATAAAAAATCTAAATACATGCTTAGATTCAGTTTAGCAAAGAACCCCTTGAATTAATTTTTTTCATAAAATCAAAATAAGTTTAATTTTAGACTATTAGTATTTATCTGTAACTAAAATTGAAATCATAATTCATGCTTAAACATTAACACACACAACAAAAATAAAATACCACATAACAACTGTGACATCTACCTACAAAACACTTATGACTTTAGAAATAAATGGGGAATGTGTCCTCGCTTGCATATCATTTCAAGTTATAAAGGGACATAACTGAAGAACGGTAAAAATGACGCTACCCAAATTTGTACTTGATCTGAGTTTTGTGGTAATAAGTATTGTGTATAAGTCTAATAATATTTGGTTGAGGCTAACTTAAGTAAGAGAACTGAAACGAAAAATTCAGCAATTTTTCCATTTGTAAACAGGCTTAAGTCTAGAATGGTTGAAGTGACACCACCAAAATTCAAACTTGATCTGTATTTTGTGGTAATAAGCATTGTGTATAAGTTTAATAACATTTGGTTGAGGCAAATTATAGTTAGAGAATGAAAACGAAAAATTCAGCAATTTTTATATTTATAAAGAGGCATAACTCAAGAACGGTAAAAATGACGCCACCCTATTTTGAACTTGATCTGTATTTTGTGGTAATACGCATTGTGTATAAGTTTCATAACATTTGGTTGAGGCTAACTTAAGTTAGAGAACGGAAACGAAAAATTCAGCAATTTTTTCATTTGTAAAGGGGCATAACTCTAGAATGGTTACAGTGACACCACCAAAATTTAAAGTTGATCTGTGTTTTGTGGTTATAAGAATTGTGTATAAGTTTCATAACATTTGGTTGAGGCAAACTAAAGTTAGAGAATGGAAACGAAATATTCAGCAATTTTTATGTTTATAAAGGGGCATAACTCAAGAACGGTAAATAAGCATTGTGTATAAGTTTCATAACATTTGGTTAAAGCAAACTAAAGTTAAAGAACGGAAACGAAGAATTCATCAATTTTTCCATTTGTAAAGGGGCATAACTCTAGAATGGTTATAGAGACGCCACCAAAATTCAAACTTGATCTGTGTTTTGTGGTAATTAGCATTGTGTATAAGTTTCATAACATTTGGTTGAGGCAAACTAAAGTTAGAGAACGGATACAAACCTTTGGACGTACGTACGGACAGACTGACGGACGGACGTACAGACGGACAAGAGTAAAACTTAATGCCCCCTCCGCTACAGCGGGGGCATATAAATAGTTTTTGACAACTCCTGACTAAAATCAATTAAACAGATACAATCATTGATAGACTATCTATCAATAGACTTATTAATTACACCATTTCTGTTCAAAGGGAAATAACTCAAAATAAAAATAAATCATATAAAAAAGAAGATGTAGTATGATTGCCAACGAGACAACTCTTCACAAGAGACCAAATGACACAGAAATTAACAACTATAGGTTATTGTACGGCCTTCAACAGTCCATATCGCATAGTCAGCCATAAAAGGCCCCGAAATGACAAATGTAAAACAATTCAAATGAGAAAACTAACAGCCTAATTGATGTAAAAATTAATGAATGAAAAATAAATATGTAACACAGCAACAAAAGACAACCACTGAGTTACAGGCTCCTGACTTGGGACAGGCACATACAGAATGTGGCGGGGTTAAACTAGTTTGAAGGCGCCAACCCTCCCCTAACCTGGGACATCATAATTCACTATTAAACACATAACATTATCATCCTTTGAATACAAATTTCCAAACATTTCTGGTTACAAGAGCGCAATTATTGGTAATGCATTTTCCATAGGGTACCAGTGGAGTTCCATATTTAATTTCTCTTAGACTAAAGAAAGTAGGAAAAAATGGTTAACAGTTCTTGTTACTTCAAATGCCAGTGTTCCATATAATTTTACAACCAAAAAAATATACATGGTCATGCGACAAAAATTGACTTAAAATGCAGTTGACAAACATTGTCTATTTTATTAGGTTAATGAAAAAGGCAGATTTTTAATGGCTGTGACGAGCAGATATTGAATATATTTTCTATACTTGTAAAATGTGAATTTGATTTTCTAGATTTTTATAAACCTAATTGGATAAGCTTTCGATTAAAAGTAATTCCAATTCTTTATCATCCAATCAGAAGCTGTACACTTAGATTTTATTCTGAGTACCATCTTGATGTTATAAACTTGCCGGTAAAATGTAAGCAAATAATTGAGCTGTTGTAAACTTCTAGGCGGCTCAATAATATTTACATTCCAGTATTAAGGATGCTCATTTGTGTACCCTACTTAAGTCAATGTATCTGAACAGTGTGATTGGACAAAACATAAAGTTTCAACTAAACAGACTTTCCCAAACTGAGGAATGAATCACGTGTAGAAAATTATAAAATAATTTTACATGCAGGTGAAAAAGAATTTTTGTGAATTTATGAGAATTTTATATTTACTGCATGATAAAAAACATAAAAATAAAAAGTAGACAGGTTGAAAAGGATAGCAGAAAGAGTAAACAGTCATTCATTTCTAAATATTATATTGAAAGTACATCAGATTGTGTATGTAGAATTTTGGGCAGTTAGAAAGTGGAGAACATTCTAAAAAGGCTATCATTATCTTTATGGGCCAGGAAATACTACCGTGGCACCTTAACTAGTAAATATATATATATATATATATATATATATATATATATATATATGAGGTACACTAAATTACAATAATGTAATTGTAATTTTCTATTCCTCTTCAGCTTGTCATTTACAAATAAATAGTTGATAAAAGGCAACTAGAAAAAGAACAAAACGTAAATCCCTCCCCCCCCCACCACCACCACCTGGGAGTGAAAATTGAGTTTTCAGAAAATTTTGCCTATTCTAAGGGTAAAAGTGCCCAAATTTAACTCGACAATAGCACTTTATAATTTCAATGTAACTTGCAATACGTTTTTAAGATAACTATCAAGCATGAGTTAATGGATTTTTGAAAATATAGGGTTTCCTGTTATTAGAAAAGTGTTTAATAGCAGTTGATTTGCATGGGAATTGTGGTTATACATGTTTGGAAATTTGTATTCAAAGGGAGATAATGTTATTTGTTAAGTGTGAATTATGATTTGATTGTATTTTGAGTTATTTCCCTTTGGAAAGAAATGCTGTAATTAATTAGTATTATGGATAGATAGTGTATCTATAATTGTATCTGTTTTATTCGTGAAGTCAGCAGCTGTCAAAAGTTTCTCTTTTAAGTCATGTTTCTTTTGAAAGTAGATGTCATAGAACACAATAGATACACAATTATTACCACAACTAATATATATGAAAAAACAAATCTATTTTAAACTATTACTCATCATTAGTTGTGCAATACATCTATAAATGTAGAATTAATTAACTATTTAATATCCCAACCCTCCTATTGTGGTATGGATCTTTGCGCTAAAATTTCTTACACATCCATACTGTGTTGAACACTTATACTAAAGTTATTGTCTGTAAACCAATTTATTTTCCATGATCCATTGATGTAAGCCACAAAAATAGTTCTCTAAAATTAGATATGATGTTATAATTATTTTTAACTATGACCAGCCCTTTTCAAATATATGATATAATAGCAAAGTGTCTGACACAGAATGAATGTGGTATAAATAATTTTAAAATTAGACATTTACCAATTATGGTCCAATATTCAAATTCCAAATACATGGTTGGATTCAGCATATCAAATAACCACATTGTTTAATTTTTTGTTAAAATCAAACTATGTTTTATTTTGGATAATTTGGACCTTTATGGGGTCAAGTTTGAAAAATGGACCAAAAATCAAAACTTCACAACAATGTTAGATTGCACACAAAGAACACCAATGATTTAAATTTTGAAGAAATCAAACACTTCAGGGACTCTACCGTACTACAGATTCACCAGGCGTTGGTTCACTTTCGTTTGTAATTCATAAATA